TTTAATGCATTTTGTAGGCCATTTTCTGTTATTGAAATTAGCACCAGATCATCGGCGTAAAGTAGCGAGTTAAATTTTGTGTTATGTAGTGTGACCTGATCAAGGGATCTGTCTTCCAAGTATTTACTCATATCATTAACATATAAATTAAATAGTGTGGGGCTTATAACACAGCCTTGTCTCACACCTTTTGTTGTCTCAAATATATCCGTGATTGTGTTTTCTAAACGAATGCATGCTTTTGTATTACAATACATATTTTTAATAATATTATAGATTTTGCCATTTATTTCATTTTTGAGTAATTTATAAAACAATCCATTACGCCAGACACTATCGAAGGCTTTTTGGAAGTCTATAAAGCATGCATATAATTTTCCATTTAGCTGTTTTACAAGCACAAAATATACTCTGGATTTCTAATCACTATTTTGATATTCAATAACATTCACTGGGTTTTAAATTCTTAGACATTTTCAGAGGTTCGCATGGATTTAATTTTTGAGATACAGTAAAAATAAATTAAAGCAAATAAAGTATACATTAACACTATGTTGCTCAAGTCCTATGTAACTCCATTAGAGAAGACTTAACATCACCACTAGTTGACATCAGGCATGATTTTTTTATTCTGTGAAGCTACCTGGTCCATGTGATGCCAAGCTTCCTGACCCATGTGATGCCAAGCTTCCTGACCCATGTGATGCCAAGCTTCCTGACCCATGTGATTCCAAGCACCATGTGGTGATAATTACTCTATTTGCTCTTTTGAAAGTAAATCTACATAAGTGCACATAAACCACAAATAGGCCATTCAGTAATAACAGTGTCAGTTATGTAAATGTTGCTAATAGAGCAAACATAACAATTTTGCATGGCATGTAGTTTACTTACTTCAAGATTACCCATGCATATGGGCATGATATGACTGAATCTTTTTACCAACTTCTTTTCCAAATCTTCATGCTGCAATAATGAGGTGAAGTACACAAATCAATCAAACTTTTCATTCCAGGAAAGTTAATATTTGTGTTTTTGAATGTGCAATCATAAATTGAAAGGTAACTTGTTTCTAACTTCACAAGTAAATTGATAAATATTATCCAAATTGTTAAGTTATTAGTTTTGCAACAGTAAATTTTGCTCCACCAGCATGTACACTAGCAGTCACCCTTTACACAGCAGTAAATCAATCATTCTGTCTATCCTCTTTATATTTCTATTTTGAAGAGACTACACCAAGATTGGTTATTCTTTGAGGATACCAGAGAATGCTTTGTTGTTGTTTGTGGACACAAGACCATGGCTGGTCATGTTTGTGAAAAGATTGGTTATTCTTTGAGGATACCAGAGAATGCTTTGTTGTTGTTTGTGGACACAAGACCATGGCTGGTCATGTTTGTGAAAAGATTGGTTATTCTTTGAGGATACCAGAGAATGCTTTGTTGTTGTTTGTGGACACAAGACCATGGCTGGTCATGTTTGTGAAAAGATTGGTTATTCTTTGAGGATACCAGAGAATGCTTTGTTGTTGTTTGTGGACACAAGACCATGGCTGGTCATGTTTGTGAAAAGATTGGTTATTCTTTGAGGATACCAGAGAATGCTTTGTTGTTGTTTGTGGACACAAGACCATGGCTGGTCATGTTTGTGAAAAGATTGGTCAGTTTTTGCGAAGACCTGAGTATTATTGGTAAATATCAAATTCATAATGAATAACCGAACGTAGTATTGCAACTGTTTCTAACATACTAGTAACCTACCTTTTGTAATTCATAATGAATTACAGTCCACAGTATTGCAACTGTTTCTAACATGCCCTCGATGATTTCAAGACTGATGTCCTCACTCAAACCACCAGCATTCTCTTTATCATCGTCTTCTTCATCATCAGCATTAGAAGTATTTTTGTCAGCTTTCTCTTTCATCCACATTAAAACTGTTTGACCAAGGTAACACATAATCTTGACTGCAGAATAGAAAAGAGTATAACAACTTATACTGTAAAATACTTTATTTTAACTGAAATTAATTTTCACTGAAAAGACAATTTGGCTGTTTTGTATAAATCTTATTTTCACTGATTTATGATGAAGTTGAATGTAAGATGTAGACAAAACTACCGTTAAAATCCGCGGTTTATATTAGGGACATATTGCAATCACTAAATGGGCGTGGTCATTTTTTCCCCACATCACTTGCACAAAACAAACAATACACCGTACAATCATTTGAATATAAGCGCAACTCCAATTTAGATGTCAGAGAAGAGTGATAAGCCTAACGTCACAAAAAAACTGTTCACATGAAAAAAAAATACTCTGAATATTTAATGTACAGTAATATGCATTTTTTTTTTATTTTCTTCGTAACGGAAAGTATATTCTGACAGGAGTTTCAAATAAAAACAAACATTAATGCATTGGGTACGGTAACGCAATCCGGCCATGCTCACAAGTGAATTTGTTTTCGAACTGTTGAAATTGTTGATTATTACTCAGTAGTGATTATAACAACACACGAAAATTAAATTCGTTGAATTGTTATCAAATGCAAGTAAAATTCAACTTAGTTTCACCGTAAACAAATTATTTCGGTCACATGTAAACGATCGATGCGACATCCGCCATGTAGTTTGAATGCACGCGAGACATTACTTGACCGGGTAGATCAAGTCGCTAATTAACCAATCAAAATGCTGGATGGTGCCCACGTGTTCAAATTACCTTAGTTCATATAAATATGTTAATGACAGGTCACCGACTTCATGGTGAACGAAACCCGGAAGCGATTTACTGATAATGTAGTGCGATCTTTTGGCTTTGATTTCCATGGGGAAAACGACATGACTTTTTTTTTTAATCAAGAAATTAGTTGTTTTCGACAGATAAACTGAGCATTGAAAAAGAATTTAACAGTTTTTCGGTGAGAACAGCTCATTGTCAAAAACTTGCGACACACGGACGTATAAGGAAGTATTGACAAAAGTTGTCACAAGACAAAAGCAGTTTCACTGCGTGTTTGACATCCTAACACAACTGAACAATAAAGAGGTGTGAATATTTTTAGGCACGTTGTCGAAACAAATGAATAGGATTAGGAACAATGTACCAGCTCGTTGAAACAAAGTCGGTCACGGTCTTGTTGAATTGGGGGTGCGGTTAGTAATAGATACTTTTTATGTTTTAAATTTTTGTTGAGAACTCTTTAACACTGACGCCGAAATCGTGGATGCGGTTACTATTAGGTATGCGGTTTATAATAGGATTTTAACGGCACTGTAAAATAATTTATTGTAGCTGGAATAATTTTTTGCTGAAAAGACATTTTGGGTATTTTGTATGGAATTTAATTTCACTGATTTTTGACAAGTTGAATGTAAAATATAAGAAAAAAGATATATTCATTGGATTTTATTTTCACTGAATCATTCCTTCAGCGAAAATAGCGAACATTTATTCCAAACGAAAATAAAGTATTTTACAGTTGATTCATCTCTTCAGCAAAAACAAGTTCCCAGTGAAAATTAAGTGTTTTAGAGTAGTCAGTGCAGAGAAAACTTGAAACTTTTCTTGCCGCATTATGAGATACTGCCTGTGATATGTTGACTTTTCAAATGAAATACAAATGATGCTTATTATTTTGAGACTCCTTTTCACCACCTCCTTTTTCAACCAAAGTTGTCTGCACTTTCTTCTTAAATATGAAATGAGCCCTAATTTTGGACTCAAACAATTTGGCTATTTTTGTTCCAATATTCTGAAGGAAAGTGCGGACTACATATGGGACTATTTTGTGATGAAAAGAGGGAACTGGTGGTGAAAAGGTTAATTGATGTTTGTGAGCCAAGTACAACAATCATTTAGATTCACCCCAAATAAGCTGATATTGCCATACCTGTAGCAGCAATAGGCATGTGTTTAGTAGAATTCTGATAAAACACCCTGGCAGCTAACTGGTTCATATTTAATAATGCAATACAACGTGATGCCTGTATCTGTACTTCTTTTTCAAGTGGCATAAATGAACTGAATACCAGCTTTACCAGTCGACGTACAATACATGGAGAGTCTAGTTCAATCCTCACAATAATCTGATCCATGGGGACTACATTCCAAAACTGTAAAATAAAGACAGCAGCTGGGTAAATACAGACATGCCACTCGACACATGCCAAAACATGTGTGTGAATGGTTAGGAGCAAGTCTGCATGTGCCAAAAAACTTGATCTTGGTCTTGAGCATCTATCTTAACACATGCTGAGATTTGCTGCCTGACGCTCAGCACAAACCAAAATCGTGCCATCGGTGGTGACTATAAGAGAACACCTACTGATTCATACCAGTATGACATGACGATGGAGGGAAATGCAGCTATATATGGTAGGATGCTGTTACAGTAGTAATGAATGAAATGAATGCAAACTGGCGTCGCATATTTTTTGTGCTGCTGCAATAAGTTTTTTTTTGCAATGCTACATCAATGTGAAAAAATATTTTTTTTTCAAATCTACTTTGCCGATCATGTGCACAATGACTCGTAATAAATACCATAACAACAAATGAATATGATTTCAATATAGCAATTATTATTTTCATCATATGTGTGTCGTTTTCCATGTTTGGGTCAAATAACAGATTGACAAATGAGGGCATGATTTCGGCAACCCAAGTGGGTCCCAACTAACATGAACGCAACAGCTGTAATCTCTCTACAAACATCAAAGATTAAAAATTTTGGAACAGGCAGAGGTCCCATAATGCAAACATAGCAAGTGTTCTCACATCAGTTTGATCAACAAAATAAAAGTAATCTTAGTCAGGTAATATTACATTTGTTTACATTTTTACCAACCACTGTATGCAAATGTTGCTCACAGATCAGCACTTGCTAACAATCTGCTGTGACAAAAATGCTAAAAAGAGCAATACATACATGTTTATTTAGTAAGAGTGAACAAAACCATTATTTGATCTCTGGGTGCGAGTGACTAGTTCTTGCTAATTAGTTACTAAACAAGTGTGACAGCCAATCCTCACAAACTTCAATGGCAGCTGACTTTGCATTTTTCATAAAAACATTTAACATTACAAAGTTATAAATTATTCTTTGTAATATTTACATAAATTACTATTATCAGCACAATTTACACATATTGGGGCAAGCTGACCTAGAACATTACTGAATGAGTTGATCTGCATCAGAGGTACATTACTTGGGGTTTGCAACTACGGTGACATGATACCAAGATCCCGTTACAATCTCGCTCTCGCATAAGCGTTCCAACTCAGAAAAATGCGAATGCGCATGTCCAAGGTGACTAGGATACTGGGATGTCCAGGTGGATCAAAATAGCTGCCCACGATATGATGGATTACGAGAACTATATTTTCTGTACATTTTCGATGTATTACATTTTTCACTACGATAGTGGCAAGAAAAGTTTTATTTTTTCATTACAAACCTTGAACATTGATATATATCATGTCAGAAGGTTGTAGCCTCAGTCTCGCTAGCTACGAGATGAGACTTCAATAGGATCTTGACATGATGTCACCATACAGTGCTATGCGAGTTGCAAACCCCAAGTAATGTACCTCTGTCTGCATATATTTACCTTGATGGCTCGGATTCCTTTGATTTTCAGCAATAAATCAGCCACTGCTAGCCTAACTTTCTCAGTTACATCATGTATACAATTCTTTAATGAAGGCAACAATGCTTTCATGTATTCATGACTTAATGGGTTATCCAACACTATAGCCAAACCCTGAAACAAGATATTACAAGTATATATAGTAAATGAACCAGTGTTTAACCATGAATAAATGAAACACCAAACATTTTTCTTTAAACATGATGTTTCACAATGCTCACAAGAGTAAAACAATAATATTTTGAATGTTAAAGTTGTATTTGAGATCATTTCTAAAGCTTTTTTTATGTACTGGTGTCTTGCAAAAATTCAATGACCATGGTGAACCGGAATACTGTAAAAACTCGATTAATTCGCGGTAGTAAATATAATAATTTTTTCAAGTGCACGAATTAATAGCGTCAAAACGGAAATTATTGGTTTTTGGTGCGCGAATTAAACGAGTACTTTTAGATCGATTCAAAAAGGAACTGTTTACATAAATTTATTTGTGATTTGTTTTGTTTTCCAATGAACACGATTACGGGACGTTTTTTTTAGTGCCTCTGAGACTCATGGCTAGCGACATTCATGGCGTATAGTCGGACAGAGAACACGCACTACGTCAAGAACCACGCACCATGTTACACTTTAAATGAAACAGTGAAATGGCAAAGGTCACTCTGTACTCAAACAAACAATGAACACATGGCTACAAAGTAGCCGTCTGGCTGCACTGCCTTTTTTATTTTTCTAGGCATCGCCCGGGCGATGTTATGGCAGATATTACGAAGCCCATCTTGTCTGGAAAAATAACTCTGCGTTGATAAAATCGGTCTCAGAAAATGTTTAGAAAAAATAATGTTTCGCGTTGACCAAATATAATCATGCAAAGTAAAAATTCAAAGTGTTTTAATACATTGGTGAGAGGTCGCATTTTACGTGAACAAGAAGGAAGAGCAGGCCAAAGTCGAAACGGGGTG